CAGCGATCCACTCGACGCTGCGTACATTTACTCGTACTCAACTCGATTATATGCCTACAACACACACACACATATACATCCATACACACACACATATGCACAATGTGTCTCAGCGTGCTGAGTATAAATATTACATTAAAAGTTTTCTCAACAAGATAAATTTAATTGGTGGCAATTTGTTCCAAATATTTTCCTTTACACAAACAAAAACAATATGAAACATTTTTTTTGTTTTTGCAAACCGTACAAAATCTCTCGCTTGCATGAACTTTATCTCCTCTTCTCCGATGCTCGCTCTGTGGCATCTTGTCTATGAAATTCTATTATATTTTGTTGTTGGAGCTGTTGTTTTTGTCAAGGCATATCGTATGCTGCGTAGTAAGTGAGACTACGGGGAGCACAAAAGAAATGACAACAACAAACAATTTTTTTTAAAGTTTTGAGGTTAAAATGCTCATGAATTTAAAATAAAAATTCATCGTTGGAAAAGTTAGTCACTAGAGCAGGTATGAAGGCAAGAAGTAGCGCCGAATCGACCGCTTGGTTGATATGATCAGGTTTTGAATAGCCGAGGGGCAGATGACACAAAGGTCTATTTTTCATGAAGTGGGTCCTAAACTCTACTCACAACCGCATGGAGATTTACCTTCCCATTTTAGCTCAACTAGCACTACCACAAACTAACTAACAGTAATTTCTTTCATATATACATATAACCGAATCTAATGTCGCACCAAATTTCGCCGGGTAGGAAGACCGACATTTCCGAATTAACTCAACACGTCGCGTTTATATTCCTGTTACCTCGTTTCATCCGTTATGCCTCTTGAAGAATGCCTAGCGATCCACTTGACTAGGCCAACTTGTCGAGTTTTCGTTCCGAAAATGTTACTGTGACAGGGAACCCAAATTGTGGCTAAGTGGAGTTGGAATTAATATTTGGCGCCTAGCTGTCTGTGTATCTGTCTTCTGTATCCTCCCCTAGTTATTCAAAAGAGCTACACAGATCTTCTAAACACCTATTTCTTCCGCTTGGAAGATGCTAGTTGAGTTTGGTAGATGGATTAAGATCATTAAAGTTTACGCCGTCTCTACTCCGCTACTCATTCTGGACATCGGTATAGATTGAGACATTATCCTCCTCTCATAAACCTCTGGTCCATTGCACAGGGTATCCTCATCTGGCAGCAAGCTGGAGGACATCGCTGTGTCCATAACTCTTTTGGTTCCAAACACCCAACACCTTAAATAATATAGCAGAATATGCTGCTACTTTTCGAATGAAAACTTCTATTGGCAGTTGGTGTTGGAGCACATTAAGCTCTTCTGTTGGACATCACTTAATAGCACCTGTAAACGATTATATCCGAATCAATTACAGCGCGCCATTCCTCTCCTCTTTTCGCTGTCTGACGCCAGTTGGGAATACCAAGAGAAGCCAGGTCACTCTCCACCTGATCCATCCAACGGAGTGGAGTTCTTCCTCTTTCTATGATTCCACCAGCGGGTACTGCATCGAATACCTTCAAAGCTTGAGTGCTTTCATCCCTTCGGGCCAGCGTAGCCGCTGTTTCTTCATTCGGTGAACTATGTCAATATCGTCGTATAGCTCTTACAGCTCATCGTTCCATCGTCTGCGGTATTTGCCGTTTCCAATGCGCAAAGGACCAGGACCGACTTATTATATGTTGATATCGTCCACGCTTCTGCGCCATATAGTATCGTAGAACAGGAACGATGAGAAACTTGTAGAGTTTGGTTTTCGTTCATCGGGAGAGGACTTTACTTTTCAACTGCCTACTCAGTCCAAAGTGGCACCTGTTGGCAAGAGTGATACTGCGTTGGATTTCAAGGCTGAGATTACAATTGATGTTAATGCTGGTTCTTAGATAGACGAAATTATCTACGACTTCAAAGTTATAACTGTCAACTGTGACGTGGGAGCCAAGTTGCGAATGCGATGACTCCTTGTTTGATGACAGGAAATATTTCGTCTTGCCCTTGTTTACTACCAGACCCATTCGCTTCGCTTCTTTATCAAGCCTGGAGAAAACAGACCTAACTTTGATTTTGAGTCCGATAACGTCAATATCATCGGCGTACGCCAACAGTTGTACACTCTTATAGCAGATTGTAACTTCTGCGGCACGCACTATTTTTTCCATCATCAAATTAAAGAAGTCAGACGATAAGGAGTCACCTTGTCTGGAACCCCGTTTGGTATTGAACGGCTCGGAGAGGTCCTTCCCGATCCTGACGGAGCTTTTAATGCTGCTTAAGATCAGTTTACATACGCGCATAAGTTTAGCAGGGATACCAAATTCAGACTTAGCGGCGTAGAGACAGCTCCTTTTCATGTTGTCGAAGGCGGCTTTAAAATCGACGAAGAGGTGGGTGGGTGTCGATATGCTTTTCACGGGACTTTTCCCAGACTTGATGCATAGTGAATATTATTCTCTTTTGGCTATTTTGAAAAGCAGGTCAAGCTAAAAGGTACAGCAGTTTCGACGCGATGTAGAAAGCCGTTGTCCTCGAGTAGACCAAAATACCGTCAAGCCACATTCGAGCAGCTTGCGATTCCTTTTTAGACCATCTCAAGGCCATTGTCGGCAAAAATTGGTCATATTCAGCAAAAGTAAATTGTTTCCGAATTTCTTGATTATTTTCACACATTTTGTACTTTGAATTGATTTGAAAGTAATTTTCCAAACTGAGTTTATGGACTTTTTATTTTTTTTGGTTACGCTTGCAGTGCCGGAGCCTGTAGTCCGTTCTTCGCGGCTCCAGTGTGTAAGCTTCGAAAGGCACTCTCATTCACCTCACTGATTGTAGAAGGAACCAGCACTGATACCATCAACCCGAGCATATGCAGACTATGCTACTGCCTTCCGTTGAGTTTGAAAAGTATTTCGCTCAGCATCAGCACCCATAGAAGCAGAAAAAAACCACCTCTTCAAAATGAACTCCCTCGACTTCGATCTACGTTTATTTATTAAGATCCGCAAATCTCAAAAACTGACAGACAGATTGGTTTGACACTTTGTCAGCTTGTTTTTATGGTTCCTGGGAAGTTTTGGAAATTTTATTTATTCAGGAATTGACTGACCTATTCGAAAAAATGGTTCGATTTACTCAAAATTCTCATTTTTACGGGAATTGGATCAATCTATTTCAGAAAATTTACATATTCATGGCTCGGCTTTGACCAGAGACCTGAACCATGTTATATTTGTTCGAAATATAAATAACACTTTTTTATGGGAAAAACATCACCAACAGATTGAAAAAAATAGTATGATTTGGATATAAGGCATGCCCGTATCTCAAGCAGTTCTTTAAGTTCGACTTGAGTGTGAACAGGCACAGATCCGATTGGTGAGGTTGGCTTACTTCGAGGCTTTCATATTAGATGATGCTTAATTAGCAATTTTTTATCGTTCCTTGCAATACCAATTAGAATAAAAAATGGAAAAAATGCAGAAAGCCAAAGCAAGGTGTGTTCGGGTTTGCTAGCATCAGCATAAATTCCGTTGCTACTTGATTCGGACCAAAGTAAATGTCAATATGACCAAAAAGTGTGAAAAAATTAAATTTTTTTTAATTTATCATATCACCCTTTCAAGTGTTCGTATAATTGCAGCACCTCCTTATCCTCCCACTCATACGAGGAGATTAACAAAAGTTCGGTAAGTTTACTAGGAAAACCAAAAAAAAAGTCTTTTTGTATTGATTCGTAATCTTTGTCCTGTTTTATCTCATCGCCATTGTTTCAGTACATTTCTTAAGTCTACAGATCCGCTTCTGAAAACAGTCTTCAAAAGCTTTCTCCTTAGGTTTATCAAGTTCAGCATTAACCGCATTACTTATCTCCTCGTTGCCTTAACAGACCTTTTTTTTAATTTTTTTTTTTAATTTTTGGAAATAACCAGAAATCACAGGGTGCTTTATCCAGCGAATATGGTGTTGAACGTATGCCTTCGATCCCAGAGATCGGATTAAAATTACTCGTTATTTCAGCAGTGCGGGATGGCGCGTTGTCGTGATGAAAAGGTAGCGCCGCAAATCCACTTTCTTCCTGCTTTCCAACACATTTTTTAAAACTTTTGGGAAGCACTCTTCGGTGTACCAGTTTGCAGTTACCGTCTGACCCTTTTCCAGTGGAATAGCAGCTACGATTTTAGATCGGGTCAAGTATACTGAGATCATTGCTTTTGCTGCTGATTTTTGTTGCTTAGATTTTACGAGTGGGTTCGCTCCTATTGGCTCCTTACCATAGACTGCTGTTTGATTTTTGGATCATACTTATATAACCAAAATACGTCACCAGTAACGGCTTTACTAAAGTTGCTGTACTGACCATTTTCGAATTTGTTTAGGAAAAATTGAGCAAAATGTATTCCTGCCTCTTTTTGGGCCTCATTTAACATTCGTAGAACCCATCGAGCAGATTTCCTCGTATATCCCAGATGATTAGATGGCATTCAAGCCCAATTCATGGTAATCATTTCTTGTGTCAATCGTCGGTCTTCGTCAATTGTGGACGTTACCAGAGCTACAGTGACGTCATCAGTGGAAGATTTTAATCGACCTTCTTGGGGCTCGTCCTCTGGTCTGGAATTTTAGAAACCACTTGGAAATAGTCTTTAAAGAAGGGGGCAATTGTTCCATATGCAATTTGGCAATCACTCAATATTTTTATTTGTTGTAGATAACGTCGAAATTAGAACAGAATCACATGGCGAATTTCGGTTTCTGTTGATGGTGGTTTTTCGTCTGACTTATCCTCAGCTGTCCTGGGTTTTCTCATCTCCATTTTAGCCGTTCATTCTAAAATTTGAAGGCAAGACTAATAAAGTAATCACAAAGGATTTGGTATTTTTTAAATTTAACAAACCCAATTTCAAAGTCACCAACTAACAGAACTTTTGTGAATCCCGTCGTATTTACAGATGAAAATAACTTTAATCATCCACTTCATACAATTTTTATCTTCTCCACAGAATTCTTACTTTTGGATCAACAACAACACAACGTGGTCGGTGTGCTTGGCTTCTTACGTTTGCTCCTGCCGTTAATCATATATGGATTCGGCACTGATTGCACGGACGATGGCGATGATGGCCACAGCACACATACACACACGCACACAGCAGGCAATAAGGGCAAAGCAAACAGCAACGGTACTCAGCGAAGGTGCACTGGTAAAACTACAGCAGCAGCAGCAGCAGCAGAAGCAGAAGTAAAAACAACAACAACCACTACGACAACAACAACAGTGCCAATCAACACCGAATGCAGGCAAATTATTGAAATGTTCGATTATTGTTTGCATTTGTTGAACATCAGCACTGCCACTCAACATTCCATCATAAATGCCGCACTTGAGGTCATCAATGCAGTATTGCAGGCAATTGATGTTGCAAGCAGTAACAGCAGCAACAACAACAATGATATTTTAAAAAGTTTGCAAGCAACATTGGGTAATCAACAATTGCAACATGCCGAGTATCTGCGGCGAAGGAAATCATTAAAGAATCAAATATTCCAATTGAGAAATTATGAAGTGGCAGCCACAGTCACAGCCACAGCCACAGCTACAGTCCCAGCTTCACACCGAGTGCTGTCGTCGAGTGCCGAGATGCCGGTGCTGTCGATTCCCAAATGGGAAAAGGGAAGTGTTGGAGTTGGCACACTGACTGAGTCAACTGGTAAAGATGACGACGACAGCGAAGGTGAAGGTAAGTCAAGTGATGATGCATTGTTGGCTCAATACCTGATTGGTGGTGGCAGTGTGACGCTGTTGAGGGTGTTTGTTACCGGCGTGTGGGTGTTGGTGTTGGTACTCCTTGGTTGGGAGTGTATAAATTAGGTATGCAAAATATTGCAAATGTAGAATCACAGCAGCCGCAATAATAATAACAGTAACCATCGTCGGGAAGTACTAATAGAAAGTCAATCATATGCAGATGAACACCAGCAACAGGAACAGCAGCAGTGCCAACGGCAGCGGCAAGAGCAGCAATTGCTTCGTGTCAACCAACAATCAATGCTGATGGTTGCTTGCCTCATTGGTTGGTGGCTCGGCTTGCCATGAAATTACTGCTCTTGTTGTTGATGATGTTGATTCGCTCACTGTTGATGTTGATGATGATGGTAATGCAAATAATGGCGCATCTTTAACTGCATTTTAATTCGACTTATTTACCTGCTCACACTCACTTCTCGTCGCGCGTGTTGGTTCGACTGCGGCGTTCGCATGATGAGGACACGTCATCCATCCATGTATTTCTTGCTGCTTTTGTAAATTAACCTTTCTGTTTTTATTTATTGTTTGTTCTTTTTATGTTGTTATTCTTTTGTTTTGGTGGCGGCCTTCAGTTCTTGTAATTTTTGTTTGTTTGTTCTGTGACTGCGCTTTGCCTCTAAACATTTAATATTTGTTTTTGTTGTTTGTAAAAGAAAGTATAAATGACGAGCAGTTACTGTGCAATCGTGAGAGCTCACGACGTGTGCTTACATGCGTTGGAAAAAGAGGTTTAAAAACAGAAACCTCAGCAGCTCGTCTCGCATCTACACCAATTTCCTTGATTGATTGATGATTTGTGTGCGGAGATCAACATTTCGTTTCACTGCAACTTTCGTGTCTTCACAACTTTAACTAAGAAGGTGTAGCGGTATCGGTAGCGCATCATTTAAGTCTCCAAATGACCGAAATGAGATTAGATCACTGAAAGCTTCAGCAGGGGGCCGCTCAAAAGTCGGAAGCCCCTGAGACAAATACAAAGAAAAGTGGTTTCTTACATACAACGCATACGACCGGGCAGTTGTTGATTTCGAAACATCAATTTGTGCGACGGAGACTTGTGAGGCGCAGATGAAAAAACTGTAATAGGAATACCGTTCTAATTAGGTCTACTGATGTCATTTACAAAACTAGATGTTCCACTGCGGATTAGGCGCTCAAGAATTTACCCGTAGTAAAGCATGCATGCCATAAGAGGCGATTAAAATCCAATAGTTCCCGCGACCGTCGGGTCTTTATATCGGTACTCGGACTCAGATTTTTAGCCGGCAGGGAATGTCCAACCCTCCGAGTGTATTTCGGACATGAAATAAAAGCTCCTCGTAAAAAATCATCAGCCGTTCGGAGGTGGCTTAGTATAAATCCTAGGTCCCTCCGTTTGATGGAAAATCATCAGACGCAAAACCACAAATTGGAAGAGGACCTCGGCCGAAGAATCGCTTCAGCGGTTACAAAGCCCCATTTATATGAAGACTTTCACTCGCACAAGATTCTCCGAAAGCCAATTTGGGGAAAGTTTTTTTACAACAACAACCCAAAAAACGCCTATGCTCATCCCCATGTTTTAAAACGACATGATCTGCCATCTGCATCTGGGTGATACGGTAAAGTGAATTCCTGCAGTATACTGCTTCCTAGTCAATTAAGTAAGCATATTCTGTGGACTTTAAGCAGCCATACCTCACATCACTTTGTATACGATTAATCATGCAGGTTCCATAAACCAGTGAAGTCCTTCCTCTACTCTCTTAATGGCATAATTGAAAGCAGAGTAACATGAAGATCTCTGGCTGCCATAAAAGTTCACCTTTATCTTGATGCAATTTAGGTCTGGAGACATACCGAACGTCTGTTCCGTATTTAGCTTACAACAACAACAACCCATCCTCCAGCTCAGGCGAAAAATAATTTGATAATAGTAAAGGGATGTGTGTCTTAAAAGGCGAATAAAACTATCAAACTCTCACTGCCGAAACCAGTTTGAAAACTATTTGGTGGCACCAGTCATACCAAAAACTTGGAAGGAGCTAGTTGGAAGACACCCTTCGCTTACTTTGCAGATCTTTTACTAAAAACTGCACGAAAACGAACCATACGTTCATCCTGCACGCCATGAATCATCTCCTTCCTTGTCCACTGTTGCTTTTGCTACTTCCACCGGTCTTCAATGGCTTCTGAATGGTTCGATAGGTGAAACAAGCAAGTCATTCATCAAACTTAATTACGCTAAGACTGAGCTTAAAGCTTTAGTAAAATTATTAGAAGAAGAGTCTCAGTGTATGCCAGCTCAGAGTCAAGGGCACAAACTCAATGAGCCCGATGAGTAAAGTTGGCTGCGACAAAAAATTGACTACGGGCATCAGCGTAAAAGAAGCGCGATCCGAAAACGTAGAGACCGTAGTTCTCAGAATTGAAATTTATACATCCAGTTTCGAATCTATGATAAGAGTCGGGAGTAAGTTTCTGCGTCTGAGCCATGCCTCGAATCTCTACCATAAATAATATTTCTCTACATTATGGCACATCCCCTGCCCTTAAAGATCTCCAGCTTAATATCTTTTTTTTGTATACTCAGCCTTGAGTCTTCACGAGTCGCTGGATCCGTCTTGCATGCAACGGCAATAAGAACCCTCGTTGAGCACTCTGCCAATCAGCAAAAAAGCTATCGAGTCTTAGTCATCTCAAAGAACGCACAACCATTTTCGCATGCTTATAAATATATTTATTCGTATGTTTGTATGTATGTATGTATGTTTGTTTGTTTGTTTGTTTGTTCTTTCCATCCTTTCAGTTGTACTGCGGCGAGCACCGAATATGCGTTTCACAGGTCGCAGCGTCAGTGAATGTGTTATTGACGAAGATGATGATGAGACGCATAGGACCGCATTGTCAACAGATTTAGTTGCCGCTGCGCATACTAATGTCAATGCCGTAACGGATGCCATCACTGATGCTATCGGGGGCGAGGTCTATGCTGATGGTGTTGTTGGTGTGCTTGTCGATTTGGATGACGATGACTTTACAACACTTTCGGAAATAAATGAACCACAACAGCTGAGGGCGTCGACGGCTGTAGCAATGGTGCCGCCATCCTATGCGCTCGTTGTTGATAATCTGATTGATGCAATCGACGCGCCGACAACAACAACAGCCGAGAAGGCGGAGGAGGAGAACAAGAAGGCCGCCAACGCCCAGGCCGCAAGCAACACCAGCTGCAGCAATCGTACTAATATTAGCGCTATGCAAACAAAAATTCAAGGCATGCAACCGCAAAATGAACAACAACGACGACAACAGCAACAACAGCAACAGCAGCAGCAACATCACAACGAACAACAAATGCTTGAAAGACAGGTATATCCGCAAAATTTGCTTACTGCTCCCTCGCAAATTGGAACAGTTGGCTTTGGGCTTGGCGTTGACGTTGACGGCGACGGTGCGGGTATTGCGGGTGGCAGCGGTGATGACAAATCACAACATTTGAGTGACATCGACAATGAATCCTTCAATAGCATTGATTTTGAGGCGGAAATCACAATAGCGGGCATGACTGGCACGGCGGGGCGGAGCAGTGCGGATGCATCACCAACAACAGCCACAACAACAACGACAACAGCCAATGTTGAACGTAAACCGGATGAAACTAGTGCCGCTGCAGCTGGCGACAGCGCTGCCGGCAACAAATTGAGCAGCAGCAGTGACACAATTGGCTCGTTCTTTAACAATTTGATTTCGAATGCAGGTGAGCTATGCGATATTTTCCTATTTCTTCTTATTTTTTTTCTCGGCAGCCTGTAGAAAAGGTAATGATGCTGCGAGCGTAAGTTGTAATGACATGGGATAGGGATTGTTGTTGTTGTGCCAAGCAAATAGAAAAATAGTTTACCTTTGAATTTCTGTATATTTTTGCTTGGTTCATTTTTCTTACACTTTTGGTGGTGAATAACGATTTGTCGGGTGTTTATTTAAGTCTTTCATTATAATAACGGTACTGATAAGGAATTTAAGTAGGTTTCAAAAAAGGTTAACCTATTCAGGATGAGTGTGAGTGTTCTTGTCAGTTTTTTTTTAGGAATTTGGTTTGGTGAAGTCTCATCCGTAGCTATTCAAACTGTTTGCATTTTTATTTGGTGAATATGGTTGTGGTTAGTTCGATAGCGCTGTATTGGTGAATTTATTCGTGTTGAGTTTATTATGACGAATTCAATTTGGTGAGTTTAAAGTACTCAATTATAATGTGGTGAATTATATAGTGGTGAATTATATAGTGGTGAATTTTAAAGTGGTGAAAGTTTCGTAGAGCTGTAAGACCCCACGATTTGTGGCAACAATAAAAATACGCTGAAAACTTGTATTATTATTTATTATCTCTCGTCAATCCATCAAAGTAGGCCTAGAATAGCCGTCGCTTGGTAAAAATTCAAAATATGCCTTAACTCAAAAATGGATTTTCCCGTTTCTTCATATTTAGCGCGGCGTATTTATTTAATATTCTTCAAAAATGTTAGAAATGGCTGCCTGTTCAGAGAGAGAGAGAGAGAGAAAGAGAGATCGTATATAGTGATTTATAATTATTATTGGCGATTTTTAAACACTTAAGCGATTATCGGCCCAGGTTTTCCTCCCTGGGAAAAATTAAATTTTTTATTTAAATTAAATTTCTCTAAATTTTTGATATTGATCAGACCAGGTCTTAAACTCAGACTTTTCTGTCATTCAGATATTTACAGCCGCAGCGTTATACGATTTTCCAAAAGCTCCATCATTTATACTTCATCAAGAGAATTCTTAGTGTAGTCTCTCTGTCCTTCTTCATCCAATAGTCAACGTCCATATAGTCATTCTTTGAAACCGAAGTCGGCCGTCGATTTTGTTTCATAGAGAAGTTTATTTCATTTCAATTCATTCACTCTCTCTCTATTTGCCCTTCGCCAGAAATTTTATTCTTTTATACAGAAAAGTCGGTTTTGCGTCAGCTCATTTCTAGAAGTTTTCCAGAACCTGAGCAGCCTTAATAAAATTTCATAACCACACGATCTGGCATTGAGTCGACCTCCGCCATCAAATTGAAGTGAAAGTATGCCACATGCAGAAGTCCAAGTCCAATGGAATCTTCATATAGTTAATTAATCCCTAATCTAATCTTTCAAAGTGGGTTTAAGGTGTCTTAACTCTCATAAAGCTCAATTCTGCTCAAAGAAAAACTTTAGATTTAAACAGAACCGCAGAGTCTAAAATTAAAATCACTTTAAACTTTATAAAGTGAATGCTTGTAGTGGAACACAACTGGAAAATCGCACAACATCCGCCGAAAATGATCCTTTCCTACATAATGCATTTGTGTTTGCTTCCTGACAGATTAAGAGTGTGCACTACGAGGCGAGCTGCGGAGTTCCGCCCACATACAAAAAGAAACGCACATGCAGGGTTGCTTAAAAATGTGGAAAATCTAAAATATCTTACAGACACCGCAAAAGGATTAAAGAGCCTCATTGTGGCGCAAAAGTTCTAATTAAGCGCATGACGACGACGACGCGTCGTGTCAGCGTGAGATGAAGCGTAAAAAAGCGCATCACGTCTGCCCATGGTTGTTAGTAATAAAAGGATTTGTTTGGTAGCTTGAATTAAGCTTGGATTTTATAGGCGTGTCCGTGCATTCGTAACATTCCTCATGCAACAACCCACATATACAAAGCGGTCGCTTTACAATTGGTGGCGTTACTTCAGACAAACTAAAATAGATTGTATGTTGAAGCAGCTCTGACTTAGACTTGTAAAAAATGCTCATGTCTCGCTCTGCCCTCTGCTTGTCTGCTTCACTGCCTCTCTCTCTCTCTTAACTCTCTCGCCCATCAGACGTAACTCGGCGGGATCTCGCCGGGTTTTAGCGTTGATACTATGCAGCTGCATAAGTTCAAAATACTTGCCTGCTGTTTTTCTATTTTTATTTTCCTCTTGTGTTGTTGTTTTTGTTGTAACGGTATAAAATAGTGAGTAAAGCACAACAAAATGGGATAAGACAAATGGGCTACGTGATAAAATGTGGTTACTCAAATTGTATGAGTGCCAGGAGGAAATTGCGGTATCTTGTTTTTACTACAACTGTTTGCATGCTGTACCGTTACTTAGTTGTATTTTGTAGACAACTCTACAGCTATGGACACATAAATGGCACAAAATTAGATTCTTGCTAAGCGTTAAAAAATTTCTACTGAAAGTTGCATTGCTGCACCAAACTGGCTGCCGCAGTATCTCTTACTTCTGGGAGGCCCAAATATTTTTTTATGTTTTGTTTATCGCTTATCGTTAACAGTTTTGTGAAGCGTGTGCTCATTTTGGGTGGACTCATAAATGGCACAAATTCTCTCCCCTTCAAAGTTATCCCTCTGAGATCGAATACACTTATGCCAGCGTTATTTCCATTATCGCCAATGGCTCCTGTCTCGATTTTCCTTTTATCTAATTCATGGTAGCAAAACACTTTCCTTTCATCGGTGCCTTCAGTTTTGGGAAAAGGAAAAAGTCAGCGGGGGCCAAGTCCGGTGAACACGGTGCCAAGATAACGCTTTAGTTTTTGGCCAAAAACTCACACATAAGCAACGATGTGTGAGCTCGTGCGTTGTCATGGTGTTAAATCCGTGTTTGTCTTTTCTACAATTTCACGTTTCATGCCTAAAACATCCGTAAAAATTGTTTAGCATGAGCCGAACGATATGCCAACATCACCAGCAACCTCTCTGATAGTGATCCGACGATTACCCAAAATCATTTTCTTCACTGCTTCAATGTTTTCATCGGGTCCTGACGTGCTCGGGCGACCGGGGCGAGCATTATCATGGACATCTTCTCGGCCCTCTTTAAACCGGTTATACGACAAATGAACTTGTGTTCGGCTCATAGTAGACTCGCCAAACGCCACAGGCACCCTTTCAAATGTCTTTGCGCATTTTATTTCATCTTCTACACAAACCTTAATGCACTTTATTTGATCCATTTTTGGACAGTCATCGGTCTGCCGTTCTGTAGGCTTTGCATGCCTTACCTAAAGTCAAATGTTCAAAACCCGCGTAAAGTATAAGACGCAGATGAAAAGCTATCTATGAAAATAAAGGCTAAGCACGAAAACCATAAATTAAAGTGTGTGTAGAGAAAAAATTTTATAAGAATACTTTTTCACTTCAATTTTTCATCATTTTCCAAGTTGTGCCATTTACTACTGTGAGCAAAAAATAAGGTGGTTATTTTTGTAAAATTAAAAATCTATTTATTTTTCTACATCGATTTCGTAGCTTTCGCAATAGTCCCCTACCGATGCATTGCCAACGCTTTTTCCAATTACCGAAGTCTCCTCAATCGACTCAAAACGGTGTTCTCCAAGTGGTCTCTTGAGTTTTTGGAGGAGCCCGAAGTCCATTGGTGCTAAGTCCGGCGAATACGGTGATTGGGAAACGATGCTCGTACAATTTTGGAATTTTTTTTTTAGCGATGTGGTCACGAAGAATGAGTGCTGTGTGAGACGGTGCATTATCGTGATGCTAAAACCAAGAATTGTTGGCCCACAATTCTGGTCTTTTTTTGCGAATTGCTTCACGCAAACTCGTTGCTACAGATTCTTCTGATATTCCAACCATATCAGTAAGGTTTCTAGCACTAATTCCTTAATTTCATTGACGTGTTGCACATCAGTTGACGTTGATGGTCGTCCCGACCTCTTTGAAGCCCTTGTACCACTTATACATGTTCTACTGCGACATAGTTGAGTCCCCAAAGGCTTTCTGTAGCCACCTCAACGATTGAGCAGCCGAAAATTCCTTTCGCGAAGAAAATTTGATTGCACTTTTTTGCTCAATTAAATCAGACATTAAAAAAAATCGCCAAAGGTCTTCTTAGTCGTGTAGTAAACACAAGCGTAACTAAGATAGCAATGATGACATTGACATGAAATTCGGCATAGAGGTCAATAACAGTGCTAACAACATTAAAAAAAAGAGATCTAACCCGTAATATTAAACGCGCGAAGCTCAAATTAAAAACTCACCCTACTTTTTGCCCATTTATATGTCCACAGCTGTATTTGTGTGTGATTTTTATTCCTCCTTAATGTGTCTTTTTTCTCTTTTTTCGTTTGCTTTTGAAGTCGTGTTGCAATTTTATGTGCTTTGTTTTTATGTATGTTTNTAAACGCGCGAAGCTCAAATTAAAAACTCACCTTACTTTTTGCCCACAGTAGTACTTGTATGTATGTATGTATGTGGCCAGCTCATTTCCCCGACTTTTCCACATTTCCATTATTTTTGTTGAGTTTTTAATGAATTCTAATTTGAGGTTATGTTATTACTTAATGCCAGGAAAAATAAACTTTAAACACCAAAACCGTTTTGTGCCATTTATATGTCCACAGCTGTATATGTGTGTGATTTTTATTCCTCCTTAATGTATCTTTTTTCTCTTTTTTCGTTTGCTTTTGAAGTCGTGTTGCAATTTTATGTGCTTTGTTTTTATGTATGTTTGTTTGTTTGTATATATATATGTGTGTGTATATATGTATGTATAATATATATGATATATGTATGTGTGCTTTTTGTTTTATTTACTGCACTTTTTATTACCGCTTTTATTTCATGTGTGCGTGTGTTTCATTTTTGTTGTTGTTGTTGTTGCAACCATTAGCGTGCCTTCCTTGTCTACTCCATTTTTTTCTCTGGGTTTTTTTGTAGCTTTTGTCGATGTTGTTTACTTAAGATGCAACTTCATGTGCAACATGTCAGTAAATTTATATCTTTATCATTGTTTGTTTACCTTCTTACTCATACTTAGTTTGGGAAAAGTTTGGTATTTATAAACAAGAAATGGCATCAGCTTTGCGAGTGCATCTCGAGAAAGAAAACAAAGTTTTTTTTTCTTAGAATTTCTACGAAAGTTGAGCGACCGCTGAGCTCGATACCAGGTCAGACCAAATTTCTAAAAAAATATATGTATTTATTGAAAAGAAAAATTTTTCTTAATGCAGTGACCGTTCAAGCTCTTGGAGTAGTTGAAAAATACACTCGGGTGGGTTCGTGCGGTTCGAATTTTTCTTTTTAACGATTTGGATCTTGTCCCGCTCAGGGGCTCAATTAGATAATGAAATACCATGACCATATAAAATTTTACGTTCTTAATTGCTCTTCTTTTTTTTTGAGAGGATTTTGAACCATAATATATCGGCAAAGAATCGGTTGTAGTCTTCCAATTTCGATGATTTTTGATGTCAATGTATATTTGTGTATACAATTGTACGTGTGTAGAATACCAAAATTTATGTTTTTAGAGATGCCTTATTGAAGTATATGACCGAAAATAATATATCTGAATATATCGTTGTATGGCCCGATCTGATCGCATCCCCACAAACTGCTTACCAAGCCTGATTGAAATATCACCAACACTGAGAGACTAATTTGCGTACAGAAGGACGGACAGACGGACAGACGGACATGGCTGAACTCTCTCCTGATGTCATTTCAATTCGTTGCACTGCTAACCAGTCAATAGTTGTCCATTTACTTCTTATCGCTCGAAGAAGGCGTTCGTGGTCGTTCACTTTTGTTGGGTCCTAAAGAAAATTTAAAGTACTTAGCTTTGTGACTGGCCGTTCGCTCAACCTGCCGAACCTTAGTACTCGGCCACGATAAATCTACATACATTTTACGTTTCTATATATCACCACTGAATAAACGACACAAGGCAAATACCTATCTTCTTTAATCGTTATCCCGTCCATTGTAACCTCGTCGATTTATAACAATCAACAGGGTCTCGATGTTTTCTAAATGTATGTGGAGCTGACATACCACGTACATGATCTCTAATCACAGTCCTTAGTGTGTTGTGACGAAATTCCATATCACTGACACTCGACTAAAGAACCCAGACATTACAAAAGATAGTGCGCCAGCGTTTCGTCATATTCTTTGCACTCAGCTGATATACCTAGTTTTTGAAGATGCTAACATCGGGGCAGTTGTTTCGTCAATACACCGTAACAGTTTTGTCTATCTAAAATCCACAATTCCTCGCAATAACTTAGTAGTTTGTCCTAGGGGAAGTGTTTCAGCACCCTAAGTGTGCCTCTGCTACTGCTTTCGAAAGTTTTCGAAGTCAATGAAAGCCGTGCGGAAGTCTCATTAGCGCGATACAGCTCGTGTGCCTTTTCATGCTCTTATTTGTGTGTCATTGAAACCAATTGATATTCACTGTCTTTACCCGCGATAGTCTTTTAAATGCCTCTTTCTCTCGCATTGAGACTTACTGTTAATATACTTAAATGTCGCTTGACTAGCTACTCCAAACTTGATATATTTACCCACTGAAAAGGTGCTTGCCCAATTGGCACCTTCAGTATTGTCCACAATCTGTGCTTGGAAGAAAGATACCAAAGATTAGGGAAGTTGTGATATCTATGCTGATTGTCGCACTAAGCACTTTCACTCTCAGCCTAAATGTAGGCAACGATTTGTGAATACCTCAAAGCTTAAAGCTTTTATAGTGACTTTTGGACGAATTTTGTATGTCTCTGAGTATTTTGTAAGTTTTCAATGCTTTTATTTTCCCCATCAATGTTGTTGAATTAACGATAACTTTTTAGCGGAAATCCCAATTTATGAAAAGTTTAAAGTTCCAAATAAGTTTTTGCTCGAATTTTACAATTTCTTATTTCTAACCAAAAAGAGAAAGAGAAAAAGCCCAAAACTTAATACATTTGCACAGTTGGGACCAAAAAGGCTATGATATCCTTCACTTTAGCCTCTCGCTAATTGCCAAATAACGACGTTTGTCGTCTTCTAACTTGCTTGCTTGATGGGCAATAGTTGGAGGATATCAGCGTCAGCCGATACATGGCTTTTAAAAGTTAGCCGGAAGTTGGCGTATTTGTCAATTGCAGCGAATGTGTCCGAAAAGTTATCTAGTTAAATGACTTAGATGTGCATTTCCGCCGTTAACTACTCGCTTAACTAGCAACTTTTGCTCGCCGGCAAACCTACAACATATCTCAATGTGTTATTGTGTGCTGTTTGCTCTTTCAAAGTTTCTTTTGTTGGGAAATATTTTCTTCTCCGCAATACAAACGCATCAAAGTGATGATTTCGAGAGGCGGAAAGGAGGGGAAAAGAAGGAATTGCCCCAATACAGTAGAAATTTGAACCCATCAAACTATTGAATTTCTTTTCCTTGACGTCTGACGTCTATTTCGAGCTGCTACTCATTTATGCAGCTTGTAAAAAAGAAGTAGACATATATGTATACATATATATATCTATATAAATATATCGCTTCCCAAAATACGTATGTAGATGCTCCCTTATTCCACTTTGTTATCCGTTTCCCTTCGCAGGCCACACGAAGCAGCAACTTTTCACTAAGCATGTGAGCAGTCGTTAATTTCCTATGTGTAAAAGTACATTAAAACTTCGAACAAAAAAAAAAAAAAAATAAAAATTCGATGTGGTAACAAAATTTCAACCATTTCTTTCTTTGCTTGTTCTCTGCCATTTCTCATCTTCTCTTATATTTTCCCCTGTTTGCCAAATAATTGCTTTTTCCTCTTTTTATTGCAGCTTCCGAGTCAGTGAGCAAACTTTTTCGTCCATCTGCGGGAGCCCGTGCCACACCTACGAAAAGTGCGCCACCGCCCACAGCAAAGGATAAGGCTGAAGTAACTTCTATTACATCGACCGCGGTCAGTACAGCTCCAGCCGATAGCATTTCTTTGATATCGACAGCAAGTAGTTGCAATAAAATGCTAGATTCGAGTAACTCTGCAGCTGCCGATCCGCAATCTGATTCCATACACACATACACGCATTCGATAGCAAGTTCATCGCTCGGCTTGCACGACGATACTGTGTCCACAGCGTTGTTGGTCGATAACAGTTTGCATAGTGCAGCTGAAATTGATGCTGAAGGCATGAGCGTTCAAGCTGAGAAGGAGGAAGTGGAGAGACGCATACCGAATGGTAGGTTTTTCAAATGGCCATTAATATATAATTTAGTTAGTTTTGAAATCAATATAATGCAGATTGTGAGGTCAAGAGTAAGGAAAAGGTTCTATCTTTCTTCGCCTCTTAAACATGTTCTTAGTATGCGAGGAATTCCAAAACTAATTCACGTTCACTTTATGCATGTTTTCAGTTAATCCCTTCCTCACTGAGAAGTCTTTAGCACAGAAGACCGCAAACGGCCAACTTTCGTTGCTCACGTTGAAAATCGGCACACTCTTCGAACAAACCATCATCCGCTACACTGCGCGGCTAATAGCTGCACGTTTCCTACTCACTGGCCAAGCGAATGGTTTGCTCAACGACACCCAAATACGCATTTCCATTAAGAGCCTCTCGTTATCGGTGCTCGCGCATTGTGTACGTTTCGATCCCGAAGTGTTACAATTACCGCTGGAGATCACCGAACAGGAGCTCTTATTGGTAAGCCAACAATTACCCTCAGTGAACGCCACAGCTGCAGCGCAATCGTCATCGAAGTGCTCCAGTGTCAGCGTCAGTCCACAAAGTGACGATAACGTTAGTGGCAGCAGTTCAAATTTGGGTAAAGATTATGAGCATCTGGATGCCGTGGATTTCATCAAAAACAGCAATGTGCATACACCAGTTAAAGGCCCAGCAGCACCCACCAAAGATTTACCAATCAAATCCCTGCCACTTGAAATAAAAGACGACCACTTCGGCAAAAGTACGTGCGAATATTTATACAATCCCCCGCTGGAGTTGAGCAAAAGCGCCGATCCAGTGCTAATGTCACAACAGGTACGCGACACAGCCAACAGACAGACCAGTAAGCAACAGGCTCTATCGAAATCGGAAATTATTGAATCAAAATCGCAGCAGCAACAACAGCCGCAGCGTAAGCCACCCTCTTCACAGTCATCGCCTTACCGTGTGACGGAATGTGTGGAGGACACACCGCCACAAATGTTGCCACCGCGTCCGCCGAAACGCACCAAATCGCAACGAAAATCAATTGCTGCCGCAACGGCCACTGTTGCTGCTTTAATGCAAATTGATGAGCACATCGGCGGCGTCGGCCGTACGATGCCAGACAGCGCCACCGCAACATTACAACACCACCAACAACAGCAACTCACAGATATTCTACTCTACTACAATCACCCGGATCCGATGTTGCGTGGCGGTGTGCAACAAATTATTGGTGGATTTCTGCAAGCAGTGGGACTAAAGGATTTCGGTTTAAATTTAAAGCTGAATATACAACATCTCTTGGCGATGCTGGTGAAGGTGAGTTTGATTTTAAATTAAGCTTAGACGATCCTGAAAATAATAACGCGGTCTTGTCTTTGATGTCTATCTCCCATATCATCCCATATCCCGACTTTAGCTGACCTTAAGCATAACAGAAAAGATTCTCGACAACAAAAAAGATTAAAACGCAGATCACAGATATATCCTTTTGTGTGCAAGAGAAAGGTTCGAGGTAATGGACATTACTCTGCGGTGGTCCGTCTTAAATTTTCTTTGATTATATTCGGTACCAAGATGATTCATGGTCTAACTCTTTAAGCCCTGATTCCTCAAATTTTGCTAATAGAACCGAAAAATGTTAGCTGGAATACGAAAAGGGGAGATATCGGACGACCACATAGACTGACTGGCGGTGTTGATTAAGCGGCATCGTAAAACATTTATTCCGACATGAAGATATATTAACCTTCTTGATACACCCCTGTACCTCTTTCCTGGTGAAATCAATAGTCGTGCCAAGGTCTGACTGTATACGCGGACGTTGGAAGACTTGTCTTTAGCTTAATTTACCGAATAGGTTTTTCCATCTCGTCGGGTTAGCTCGCATATGTTGTTATACCAGTAGTTGAAACGTTATATTAAGCTCTCCGATGAGGACATTTCCGCAATCGATATGGCGTGAAAAGACGGTTTTTTGATACTAGGCAAAGTAAACTGTAGGGTCACATCCATCTTAGTCGATTCTACGCACGAGAGGTGAATAAAATTCAATTTCCCATCATCCTTCCATCATTATACGCTCTTCAATTATTTGCAACTAAAAACACGCCATCATACATTTAAATGAAAATCCGAAACTCCTGCAAAGTTCCTAAAAAGTATTTTCTTATTATTTGCTTGGATTTGCAAACATTTGGAAATGCTTTTCCGCTTCAAAGTACCGCACTCGCCCGCCACCACCATCTCCATTCAAGGCAGTTGGCCTTTTCCAATTTCCTTCAGGCGCGCACCATTGGGTTTGGGTCAGCAGCTGGTCGGTCGGTCGGTCGGTCGGTCGGTCGGTCGGTCGGCCGCATGTATGCATTGTATGCTTAACGCTAACAAGCCGAACAATAAAGAAACGTAAATTCTTTTAATATCAGTAAAGAGAGTTCCGAAATGCGGGTCGACAGAGAGCGGAGCGGCGGAGTCAATTTTTATCCAATAACTTGCAATTTTTTCGCAAATATTTTATTTTACTTACGAATTTATTCTTAGAATATTCTCATTCTTGTACATAACACATGCATAAACATATGGCTTATTTATTTTCTTCTATTGCATCTTGGCAGGGCCTGCAGGACGACATCCACACAGTGGTCATACAGGCGTTGAATGCATTCGAGAAGATATTTCCGTGTGTGGTGTCCAAATATTTGATATTGCCAACAGCGTATCATCAGCATAGTCAGCAGCTACAACAACAGCAACAACAACAACAACAACAACAACAACAACAAGTACAAGCGAACTACACTCAAAGCACGACAGCCGAGCCGGTTGAAGTTGCTGATAAGAGTGGCAGGAAATGCCATGCTAATGCCGCTGGCCAAGTGCCACAACAACAGCAACGACAAGAAAACACTAACGACGCAACAAAAAGTAGCTATTACACACACGCTACCAGCAGCAAATCGCCAGCAATGGCCAAATTAACTTCATCCTCCTCTGCTGCTGCCGCTGCTTCAGCTTCTAAGACATGTCCTCGAGTGCTTTTCAACGATAATGATGCGCTTATAGCTGCACTTTTGAATGATTTTCAATTGCAATCGAAGTCGAATCGTAACGGCATTGACAATACAACAAACACAAATGATACCAACACTCAGCCACAGACTGGCAGCAACACCAGCAACGCTCTTCCTCCGCCAGTCGCTTTTCGCATTTCACCAAAATTGCTGTTGAACAAACTTCGTCTGTGCCACTACAACAAATATTGGTTAGTTCAAAATAAATACGCTGAAGTTATTTCGAATTTAAATTATGCTGCCTTACATGGGGCATGCAACGATTGCCATGGCTACTGCTGTGGTGGCTCAGCTTACTTGGGTTGTGTGTGTGACGCTGGTTGTGGCGATGATGGTGGCGATCATGGCTTCGACGAAGTGCTGGTAGGAAATGCCGCTGGCGGTGGTGATGGTGGCAGCGTCTTCGATGTTGCTGCTGTTAACAATCCCGTTAATGCCACATTGCCCGACGGCGCAGGGAAAGCTGCACCAACAACGACGAATGAGACGGCCAATGTTGGGGATATGTTGTACAATATTGCGGATGATAGTGTCTGCATATACGAGGTAAGCTCTGCACATTTTACTCACTTAACGATGCAGTGCGTTGTGCATTTATTCGGGAATTTAGCTTTATTGCATTTATCGTTGGGCGCTTGGATACACACATAGTTGGTGTGTATGTGTAAGCGCATTCAAAGCAATGTGGATATGCAAATAATATTTCCGCGTACTATGAGCGCGAAGAATGTGTGTGTTCTTTCTCGGTGGTTGTTTTTGAATTCTGCTAAGAGTAGGGAGACGATATAGCGTATAACGGGACGTATTAGACTTAAGAAGATTCCGAACATACGAGGACCCATTTACCATTAGATAAAAGCTAGCCAATTCCGGACCCGTGCAAATGGATATATTTTGGGATGTACAAATTATTTTGCTCCGTTTTTTTTTGCTTCCAAAAAAGGGTTCTCAATGGAAGAAAATGCAAAAATACATCATTCAAAGTATTGTCCGTCGCAAGCGGCTACTTTTCCCCCCATCACTTTGGTGATTTTTGAATGCTCATATCTAAATAATTAGTCCTCTCTGTTCTCAATCCAGGAACCGAACCAGTGATACTCCAAATCGTTTTGTATCCATCGAAAAAAACAGTAATCGGAAGGAGCAAGGTCTGCGAAATACAGCTGATGAAGTACGACCGCCATTTCAGCATTTCTAGGTAGTTTATGCCCATTACAGTCACGGGCTGATCGTTGTCTTGCTGCAAAACCACCTTGTCGCTCGTTTCTGGCAGACTTTCATGCAGTGCACGGCTCAATCGTGTTAGTTGTAGTCGATAACGTTTCGCATAAATGGTTTTACCTAATTTTAGCTTAGTACACCACACCTGTTTTTGGTTGCCCTAGATGCTCTTGGTCTTCAACGCTAAAATAATGGCTTTCAAGATCGGCGACCACTTGCAGGTGAAGGCATCATTTGAGAATGAACCGACTTAATTTGTACTTCCAGTGGCCCTCTGTGGGCGTACCACGTACGCGATTATATCTTAGTCACCACCTGATCTTTCCAACGAAGTGAAATTCCACCGTTTGTTATGGTTTTTAGGTGGAGCTCCTAAGCCAGGGAGGTGAGCCATTTTCTTCAAGACCTCAGTCCGGTCGCGGCTGCATTTCTAGTAAACAGATGTTGCAATAAAACTTCAATGAATTCTGTGGCTCATCTTAAGCATCATTTCCGCAACGCAGTGAATTGGGCATGGTATTACGGCTGTAAGGCACGGCACACACAGAAAAAGCTTAGTTGCTGCATCAGGCTGCCAATCCGGCGCTGAGTAAAGATTGGTATCATATGGAGCAAGAACCCCCAAAGTTTGTCCCGGTCTGTTCTTGCAGTAGGATATTTGGAGAGTATCTTGACGGCGTCATTAGCGAAATGGTTAGTACAAAGTGAAGTACGGGCTCGGAGTTTGAATGTAGAGACTATGCTATTGTTGATTTTGGTGGTGAAATACATCGATTTTTTTCTCTCAGATCTTTCCTTTGTTTGAACGGATGACAAATAAATCGCATATATTAGACCTACCAGATCAAAACGCATCAATAACCACTCAGGTTCGTCCGTCCAACAGTTCTCGCTTCGGTCAGGAGTATGATGATACCACACCACCTCAATCCTGGAAAAGATGAGCTCGATGAATTCCTACCACTTAAGTTCACTTCCCAAACAACTGCAACCTATTTTCTATGTTGAATTAGCGTAAGCGTCGAGACGACGTCTTTACACGATTGATTAGGTGAGAAGATGGTGTCAATTTTAGACACAAATCGGGCGGACCGGAAGAGAAAAGAACTGAATCTCGACGATAGTACGATTCTTATTGATTTTCTGTTGTGTATTTCAAAATTTAAAAATTTAATAACAAAGACGGCAAAAATCTCAAATTCTATTGCTCTTTCATGCTCCTTGCACAACTGTGTAAGTGATATTATTTTTAACTTGAACTTTAATCATTTTCACTTAATTATTCTGTGTTAATAAAGACAAATCCTCAGACTGATTGCATTTTAGCCAACCGTTCTTTTCCATACGTGTAAGTGTATGCCGCTAATAAGAGACTTGCACATTGAGCCTACTTTTATATTAAAATTTTCCAAGTGGAGTAGGCCTCAGCCAGCTGCTGCTGCATAACAATTTAACATCATTCAAATTGCCCTACAATTTCATGATTTTCTTCTGCTTTATTTCGCTCGCATCCTCAATCAAGCCTACTATCGCCAACTTCGTCCTCGTGCATATGCAATTTCCGTTCTCACTTAGCCCAATGCAATCTGTTCCGTGGATAATACAATAATTTTCTGCTTGATGACTACACGCGAATTCTTGAAAACAGACTTTCATTCATAGGCTGAAAAGCCCAGAATCGAGGAAAAATAAAAAAATACAAAAAAAAAAAAAAAAAAAAACTGAAAAATGGGCAAAAGTGCAAGAGAGGAAATCGCTTATGCACTTTAAACTTTTATACGTGAGTACAAACGCCTCAAACACACACACACACACACACACACGCACAAGTGTTTCCGCTTTCATTTTTGCAAAATTCTCTAAACGGAAATGTGTCAAAAATTGCATGGAGCATAGTAATGATGTTACTCATACGCACCCGCGCACCAAAACGCGCAACTGAAATTCGACCAGGAGCGTGGCACTTGGATCGCTTGGTGCAGTTGTGTGGGTGTGGTTGTATATGAATGTGTCAAAAGCACATATAACGTTAGCTCTATCTCATTTTATAAATAAGTGTGTGTGTGTGTGTGTGTGTGTGTGTGCCACTCTATGCCCTCACGTAGTCCTTGGGTGTTTCAGTTTTTTCTCATATTTTTCCTCTTGTCTTTTGGAAAATTGCGCATCATCATTGTGCCGCTCAGTCAATTTCTTTTGCCTCAATGGCTGGCTTTAGATAGCATTTTGATCCCCACGCTGCGTTCGTGCTCATATTCTGAGTACATATGTATGTAAATCCAAAATTTTTTTTTTTTTAAATAAATGTTTGTATGACTGTGATTAAATGCCGGCACATGCAGTTCACTTCTAAGTTTTCTTACTTAATTTGGTAGCGGCATATTTTGGGTCTATTATTATTCAGTCTTCTCTTTTCAAATGGCGATTTACCAGTGCCTCAAAGCACTCTATAGACATTCATTAGATTAAATTAGGTTGCGATGACATACCCATTACACTTAGAGCTGAGTAAGACCCGAAGTGGTGTCACAATTTCACGACTTCTAAGCCTCCATTTCCAACCACCCATTAGGCCTTATTATATTCATAACTTTGGTGTCTGTTATCTTAGACTATCAAGCAATATAACCAAAACGTGGCACTCGCTTAAAATATGGGTGATCGTTACATTTTCCTAGAATCTCCATGTCGTCTTATCACGCAGTAATTTAAAGTGTCTTATTACCCTCGCCATGCTCCCTCCTTTTATTAAGTACATTCAAGTAATCTGTTATGGTCCTGTTTCAGTGATTCCTATCTAGATTTACGGCAAGTCGTAGTTTCATTTCACATTAAAGTGGCCGATTAATTGGTCACTTTCTTGAGCCACATCAACCAAGTCTTTATCGAAAATTATATATTTCATCCGCCCTACAATTTCCCTTGATGTCCATAGTTATTGGTGTTTGCCCATCTTCTGTATAATCGGCGACATTTTGTTGTTGACAAGCAGTAGTCGAAAATAAAGATATCCTCATTTTTAAAACTGGCTTTGCGGTCCCCATCAATGTAGAGATCTATGCCTGAAGCAAACGGCCAAGGTATGACAGCCTAGGCCTTGTACACGAGAATAAGAAGCGCCATTTAAACTTTAGATTTGCGGCAGAAGATAGAGCTCATACGGCTCCGGAGTGGATCTGAGGACCTAACATCCTTTAGGTAGATACCCTACAATAAAGAACGTTCTTCAACGAAAACCACAAAAGTTTTCTGAGAGCAACAGCACTGGAACTGGCGCTACAAAAACAAAAGCTTATCGACAATGTCAAAAAAATGGCCTTGTTACGATGAGGCACTTTGAACTGCAGGGGAGAGAAAAAAGACTACCTACCTTGTATAGTTGGAAAATTCTTCGAAAAGATGTGCCGACTTACTTGATATTTCGAGACCGGAGAATATTCATTTGGGAGCCAAAGCAGTAAGCTGGTGACCGATGTCCACAGAATAGGGGAAATTTTCCCAGCTTTAACGCAGTTCGATTGCCCAATTGAAAATCAACAAAAATGCGCGAGCCGAAAACTTACCGGCTGAACTTTTTAAATATGATAAGGAAAAACTAACAAGCTGCATGTATCAGCTTGTTTTACATAATACGACCCACAATTAGACCCTTAAGTGCGGTTTAAACTTAACATTAGTGAGAATCTATTACAAAGGGGGTACATCACGGTCTGCGTAAATTAAACTTCCCCAAAATAGGTTTACACTAAGTATTGTTTGAAAGATTAAAAAATTGGTTATTATACCGTTGAAAAAATATTCATCATTCATGAAATCTTGCAATAGACCTTTGATGTGTATTCACAAAGCTTTCTTCGACAGAACGAAAAGTGCCGCCTCCAATTAATAATAATTACAGTCTAGAAATTCCAGACAGAATCACTGGTCTTGCTTCATACTTACCGTGTAGGCCGCTTATAAGTATTTACATAAATGTTGCCTACATTTAGGGTCTTGTTAAATAAGCTAAACACCCAAAAGTAGTCGATAGCTTCAATTTCGCTTGCTGTGTTCAACGAACTCGAATTCTTGATATCCCTTTCATATTCTTCTTAAAATGTATTTCGTACATTTAACCACTGTTTTAAATACAACAAACATGAATATTGTGGCGCTAAAATGTAGGCAAGAAACAGTGCAACATCTAAATTTTAAAGCAAAATTAAAAGCACTAAATATATATGTACATATAGTTTTGGCTTCGCAAATGTTTTGCATATTTTTAGGCTACAATTACTGCAGAAATTGTGCACAATTCGCACATAATGATTTATAGCACTTTCACGCACATAAAATACACTGAAATGAAATAAAATAAAATAGAATGTAACGTCTAAATATAATCAAGCGTCAGTTTATTATTTGTAAATTTAAAATGGAAATAAAAAATTGCTAAAATTCCCAAAGCCTGAAAATATGCAATACAATTTTGCGATATTAAAAGTTGTAGCATTCATCGATACACATGCACAGGATTGTCCATTTCGTGATTCTAAAAATACTAGGCTGCATTTTGGCCTCTGTCAAACTTAACTGCCAAACCGAACATGTTTTGTTTTAGTTAAAAGACAAGTTGTTAAGCGATTAACTACAAAACGCGTTAAAAATGGTGATCCAAATGTGGACACGTTCCGTGCTTTAAGAGCAGACAACTACTCAAGCGCTCATTAGGTAAGTTGCTATGGATGGAAGGTAAATAAGGTGAGAAGTTGCAGCATTAGACTTACACCGATCGATGACAGCGCCGTACATACGTTGATCCGGTGCTTGAAGCAGTGGTGGGGTTTCTTCGAACAAAATTTTCTCCAGCGACGGGGCACATTTCTCATTCGGGCGATACGTAAATATTGGGGACTCCGAAAATCTTCAAAAGCTGAAAAAAAATTTTTTTGCCTTTGCGTTCTTTGGTCCGTAGGTAAGATTAGAACTTAATTCTTTGAAAATGAAGCTGGCTAGGCTGTCACTGTTGATTCGGAGCGCTATAGTTAGCTATAGTTGTAAGCCAATTGACCTTTTTTTTGGCCTGCAATTGAAATCCTTTTTTGGATTAATTTCTCCTTGTTATATATATAATTATCGCTTTGTAACCGCTCAAGCGATTTTCGGACGAATTTTGTGGTTTTGCGTTTTGATTTTTTCCAAGAAATGGAAGGATCTATCTACAGTTTATACTAAGCCGCCTCTGAATAATTGCTGTTTTTTTGTTTATGAGCAGCTTTTGATGTCAGAAATATAATCGGAGGGGTTGACATTCCCTGCCGAGGGGAGACCGAAATTAGAAAATTGAACTTAATTTTTTATTTATATTAATTTTCTATAGCCACTTGGCCGCCCTCTGTTGGTTTATTAAAATATTTGGATTTATCTAAATTAAGTTCTGACAATTTATCTAAAGCGTTTAAGTACTTTTTTATGTATGTATGTACGTGTGACTTAATTTTACTATTGCGACTTCACAAGACCTTCGCGTCTTTTCTACTGCTTGAACGACAAGTTTTTCCAGCTCATAAGTTATTTACATATGTGTCACTCACACAGACACTCTCATATCCACAAGAACACACTCAAATTGAAGCTCGCCTCATCCGCAAGGACATGCCGCTCACGCAAAGCAGCATTTGTGTCTATCGCAACCTGATTTTCGTGTGCATTCGCCTCATTTTCCCACACATGTTTGCTTCATTTGGGCTCGCTTTTTTATTTTTATTTTTTTTTGTTTTGGGGTAAAAGGACCTCTTTACTAAAAATTTTCATTTTCCGCATTTTCATGTTTGATTTTTTATTTTTTTTTTTTTTTTCAATTTACTTGTATGAAGCGTACAAGCAAGGGCATATTGACAGTTGTAGGCATGTGTGTATATGTGCGTGCGTGTACTGTACGTGTTCTCATTAAATGAAGTGACTTTCGCCTTCTACTTGGCCTTTTTATGCCGCCTACAATTCGAGGTGAAAAAAGCAAATGATAAAAAACGAAAAATCGCAATGATAAAGTTTCTACTCGCGCATTCGTGTTTTTTTTTCGCTGTTGCTATTTGAAATTAAAAATCTGTAACACTGCACCGTCTCCCCTCCGACACTGTTATTTCACCAACGCTGCCTCATGAATTTCCATTTTTTGATTTTGTTGGAAAGTTAATCTTCTGCCTTTGTGCAGCACTTTTTAGTGCGCTCATATCGATTTCTTACAACACTTCTGCTCCAGTTACTTACTACATTATTTATTTGCACCTCATTTTTTTGCCCAACTTTTCGTCATTATACTCTATCTTCCTCTCTCTCTCTCTATCTCTCTCTTTGCAGTCTCAATTTCTGGATGAACTTTTGCAATTGATCGGCGACGATGATTTCCGTGTCAGAGAAAATGCCGCTGTTTGCCTCTGTCGTTTCATCATACAAAATGCAAAACGTAAACAACAACAGCAACAGCAGCAACAGCAGCATCAACAACAAAACAACGAAATCTACACTGCCTCACCTGCAGCGTCGACCAATAAAATCGACAACCAATATTCAGGCGTCAGTGCCTTTGGCGACGACAAATCGCTCTCACCGGCCACCTATGAAACTAATTTCAATTTGCTTTGGGATTTTTTCGACTACCACCTCTTCAGCGGTCTGCCATTGCAGTTACGTAATTTATTCAGAGCCGTGTCAGCGCCATCATTGCCGCCAACAACGATAACTGCCGCAGAAGTCACAGCTACAGCGGCAGCCGCGTCGGCTTTGGTTGGTGACTGTGCCGGTGATTTTTCGTTTGTACTGCCACAACGCCAGCGCAGGGAGGAGGAAAAGTTGTTGGCTAAAGTTTTGTATCGCATGACAAATAAACTGATGGAGCTGGAGGATAAAAATGCGCAGGTGAGTAGAGTGTGTGGGGGTTAGGTTTGTAGGTTCATGGCGTTGGGCCAGTGAGGAAAATGGAAAGAATTTGTTGTGTTCAACGAAAACTGTGTAGCGTTTAGTGGGCACAATATGTTCTAGATTCTATAGTATTGGAATTCTTTTATTCAATAATTTTTAATTCATTAAAATTATTTTAATTATTTTTCGTAGAAAAATTTTTTTTTTAATATTTTGCACGTTTCCATGTTGTATTTAGAGTTTCAGGAATAAATAAAACACATATAATTTAATGTGGTGGAAAAAGAATTCAGCTTTGTTATAAAGAAAAAAACTTGCATTATGTTTTAAAAATGACCACCGCGGCTGATGCGAATAAATCCCGCCCGAAAGGCCCTATTTTCGAGCACCTTTTTGTTACAATTGGCCAACTAAAATCTTTCAAAACGTCATTTGTCTCGGGCTAATCTGCGTAGATAAGATGCTTCACATAACCCGTCAAAAATAGTCCAGCGGTGTTAAATCACATGTTTTTGGATGCCTTGCCACAGGTCCTCGACGCAAGATAATGCGCTCACCAAAACTTTTCTACAATAAATTGGTTGCTGCGTTGGTTGTGTGGCATGTAGCGCCGTTTTGTTGGAACCAACGGTCGTCCACATCCACCTCACACAATTCAGGCACGGAAAAGTCGTTAATAACGGCCCTATAGTGTTCCCCTGTTAGACTGTTCCATTGGTTCCATTTTGTTAAAATATAGACCAATCATTCCCTCTGTCCATAGGGCACACCGAACAATGATTTTTTGAGGATGTTACGGCGTGTCTAAATGTGAGCGTTATCGCTGAACAAAATTTTCTTAAGAAAATCTTGATCACCTCGTTTTGGGCTCAATCACCCGACGTTCGACTTCAATTCTTGTTCGTATAAATTCGATTTTGCAAGTCCGCAAAATCTTTCATAAAGCGAGAGGGCACAACTCTAATGTTGCACCGAATGGTTTCCGGACTCATGCGGGTCTTATTCGATACTCTGCTCTACAGCAGCAATAAGTTCACTATGATGATGGCCATTATTGACTCAAATAAATGTGGTGGAAAACCGAGCCGCGGCTGCTCGAATTACCGACTGCTGGGCGATTTTGTCGACCGAATATGAACATACCGAATCGCGCGTCGTGCGAACGGAACCATTATTGTTGCAATAAATTTGTATGACTTACCAACGTTGTTCTGCTAATAAAGAAATGCTATAAATTTTGTAAAAACTCAAAAAAATCAACTCTGAAAATCACAGTTCTACTCTCCACGTATTACATCACTGCTGCCGCATAACCAGTAAAATTTTCTATAAACTGTTATTTTTGGCTTTATTAAACTACAGTTCGTTAGAGCTGTGTACCCTAGGTAATCCCCATGATACAAACAGAGGAAGGTAGTTTCACTTCAGATGCTCAAGATATTGCCACTTTAAATATATTTCATATATATTTTCTTATAAAAAATGCTGACACCTGAAAATAATTTTATTTCCAATAGATTTCAGAAAATACAATGCAAAGCCTTTAAGTTTTTTGTGAGCTCGTATTGCTTTTCTCTACTTTTTTGTTTACTTGGAAAGGTTTTGCATTTTTTATTTATTTTATTTTTTTTATTTTTTTTAATACCAAAATGTTGAAAATTTATATTTTTTTTAAATGAAATTGTTAGCACAAAACTAAAGCAAAATTCTGAAAAACTCATTATGTCAGATGGTTAAAATTTCTGAAAAAAATTTTGAGTGTATCTTCCTTGTGTTTTGTATCATGGTTAGCTCTCATGATGAAATAATATGTATGCAGGTGAAGTAAGTAGAGTAGAAAGAGACTTTGACGTTGNGATCAGAAACTTTAAGTTCTCTCTCTTTTCTAAAATTTTTGTTTTAAAATTTGGGTACAAAAATTTATAAAAGCAACATCTTTCCTAAGGCAGCGTGTGGGAAAGGGACAATTGCGTACTTACTTTACTTGTATATCATTTCATCATGGTTCTCTCTAAGGAAATTATGATTTTTGACCAAAATTTTTCTCGATGGGTTTTAAAGCGAACACAAAAAAATTGTCGAAAAAGCATAAACACATTTATAAATATGTAAAAAAGTGTAGTATGAAACGCAAACATATTATTTAAGGTATGCAGCAAAGTTTGCGTACTACAACACATACTGTTTTCATTTTTTTATTTTTGAAGTCCAAAATTGTTCGTATAAAACTATGAAAAAGCAAAATTAAAAGTACTAAATATATATGTACATATAGTTTTGGCTTCGCAAATGTTTTGCATATTTTTAGGCTACAATTACTGCAGAAATTGTGCACAATTCGCACATAATGATTTATAGCACTTTCATGCACATAAAATACACTGAAATGAAATAAAATAAAATAGAATGTAACGTCTAAATATAATCAAGCGTCAGTTTATTATTTGTAAATTTAAAATGGAAATAAAAAGTTGCTAAAATTCCCAAAGCCTGAAAATATGCAATACGAGTTTGCGATATAGAAAATTGTAGCATTGCATCGATACACATGCACAGGGTTGTCTATTTCGTGATTCTAAAAATGTTGGGCTGCATTTTGGCCTCTGCCAAACTTAACTGCCAAACCGAACATGTTTTGTTTTAGTTAACAGACAAGTTGTTAAGCGATCAACTACAAAGCGCGTTAAAAATGGTGATTCAAATGTGGACACGTTTCCTGCTTCAAGAGCAGACAACTACTCAAGCTCTCATTAGGTAAGTTGCTATGGATGGAAGGTATATAAGGTGGGAAGTTGCAGTATTAGACTTACACCGATCGATGACAGCGCCGTACATACGTTGATCCGGTGCTTGAAGCAGTGGTGGGGTTGCTTGGATCGACGATTTTTCGAACAAAATTTTCTTCAGCGACGGGGCACATTTCTCACTCGGGCGATACTTAAATATTGAGGACTCCGAAAATCTTCAAATAGTTGGAAAAAAACTTGTTTGCCTTTGCGTTTTTTGGTCCGTAGGTAAGATTAGAACTTAAAACTTTGAAAACGACGCTGGCTAGACTGTCACTGACGATTCGGAGCGCTTTAGTTGTAAGTCAACTGACTTTTTTTTGGCCTGCAATTGAAATATATGACTGTTCAATAAATGGTTCTGACAAGATAGTGCCACATGCCATACAACATGAGGGAATGTGTCTTCATTATGAGAGAAATATCTCGGCTGCGTAATCTCTCATTTTGGCAATGCTATTTCGCCACCGAGAAAGTACGATTTGACACCGTTGGACTTTAATAAACCTTTAACTATGGAGCATTTGAGAGCAACGAGTGTCAAGTATTTACGTTTACTTTTGAAACCTCAAAATGGATAACCCTGTATATGTACTAGCTTGAAATGCTTTGCTATATGCTCTTGTGCACGAAATACTTAATAGAATTCACCATAAGATTTATATGTAATATGTTTATGTATGTATATATATATCAATTTAGACCACTCAATTATGCCAATTCTATGTTTACTTGCATGCCACACCCACTTCTGCCACCGTCGCCGTTTCTGTCGTCGTCGTCGTCTTCGTCGTCGTCGTCGTCGTCGTCGTCGTCGTCGCCTCCTCCAACACTTGAACGCTCAACAGTTTGGCATAATTTACACACTGAAAATGTTACTAGAGCATTTCAATTTCATTGATTACCAACGTGCATGGATGGAATTTAATTTCATTGAAATCTGCCAAAGATTCTCCTATTACAATTATGCCACAGCCGTGGACTTGGCTTGCCAGAATGATTTGATTGATGTTACCGGCAAACTGTTGGCAGGTAAGTGCTTCCAATTCTATGCGGCACGCAAGTGCTGAACCAAATATATGTAAGAATATATGCATATGCATATGTATGTGTGTATTGTATTTGTAAGTAAAGTTAAGAAACTGTGTTTCGTGCTTATCAAGATTCCCAAATGTCTATTTGATGACTGAGTACATATGAGTACATACGAGTATGCTTAAGCATTTGGGCATAAAGTAATTGCTTCAATGAGAAATGTTTAAGTTAATATTTATTCTCGTATTATTTGGCATCTGACTTCTTGCCGTAAGTGGGTATACAAGTGAATATATTTAGTTGCATCGGCTTCTTCTTTTCTTTTTTAATATTTTCTCAACAATTTTAAGAGTTCGCATAAAATAAATTTAATAAATTTCGTTTATTATGTAGTAAAGATTTTTTGTCATTAAAATGAACTAAGCAACATTTCGAAACAGCTTTAGGGGTTAATGTACAAATTATATAATCATATGTGTTTATATAATCTTACTAACGTACTTCACTGGCTTAGACACCGTCTACGCGATTATAGCAGATGTAACAAGATTCGCCATTCGTTTCTTCTTTTTTGCTATTTGGCGTCTGTTCAAGTCTGTAAGTACTTGAGGGGAAGTAATGCTGGATGCCGGCTGTCGAGCGGGCCTAAAATTCAAATAAAAAACACTTTTTCCAATTTCCAAGTAATTCACTAGTTATTTTTAATAAAGGTAAAATTTCACGAGTAAAGTTTCTATATATAAAATTTAATTAAATTATTTTAACTAAAGTTATTTTAAGCAAATTCTTAAATGTATAAAGCAGAATATCGGGTCCGCGGTTTAAAAGGCTGCCATGCGCGAGGACTGTTGATTTTAGAATGAATTTCCGTTAGCTCGAACGGCCGCCGCTAAGCAGCCGATCGGCTAACGAAATTTGGCCAAAAAGGATATGGGAATTGGTGCGTGATAGGGCACACGGAAATAGTGGGAAAAGACGGGTAATTTCCCGCGCTCGGCAGTTACATATGCTTATTTATGGTGGTTTAAGCAGCCGCTTAAACAGCGTCAATTGGAAATACCAATTACAGCCAGGTCATTCTCTACTTGGTTCTCTGCTTCCATCGGCGGGAACTGCATCGAAAACTTTCAAATCTAGAGTATTCGCATTCATCCGGAACACATGACCTAGCCATCGTAGCAGCTGCTTCTTCATTCGTTGATCTATGTCAATATCGTCGTATAGCTCATTCAGCTCATCGTTCCATTGTCTGCATACCATACAGCAGGACGGGAACGATGAGATACTTGTAGATTTTGGTTTTCGTTCATCGGGAGAGGACTTTACTTTTCAATTTTCTACTCAGTGAGTGCATAAGTGCAAACTAAAATTGAAATTTTTTGAAGAAAGCGCACCAAATGCACAACAGTACCTTCATCGGATGCAATCCACCTTTCGACATCGGTTCCGCCCTTTCGTGTGCCTGTTTCCGTGTTCTTTTGCGTTGAACATTGTTGTACAGGATCCATTTTTCATCACCAGTCACGAGCCGATCCAAAAAAGGTTCGTTTTTGATTCGTCGAAGCAAAGAAGTTGCTGTTGACATACGGTCCACTTTGTTGTTTTCACTCAACTGATGTGGCACCCATGTATCGAGCTTCAAAGTGTACCCAACCTTTTTTAAACGACGAAACGCAGTTGATTTGTTGACGTTCAATTCACTGGCAACCTCTTCCGTCGAAATACGTGAGTTATTCGCAACTTAAGTCCCTAGAACATCGTCATCAAGCTCAGAAGGCCGTCCACTGCGAGGTTGATCTTCGAGGTTAAAATCTCCAGAACGAAATATCGCGAACCGTTTCTTTAATGTGCGGAGTGCTGGAGCACGGTCCAAATAAACTTCGCGAATATCTTTAGTTGCAGCGCCTACTGTTTTTCCTTTGCGGAATCCGTATAACATTCAGCTCTCGTGACGATAGCTTCATTTTGCGCATTTCACAAGGGCTTAACTGAGAATGCAAAGCAGGTGTGACGAACTAGATATAACAACAAATGTTTGTGGAAAATTTATCATTCCTCCACTGGAGCGCTTATATCCAAATATCCAGCTGGTATGATTTCATTTTCGAAATACTGATATTTACTTCTATATTCGGTATTACAGATTTAGGAGACTACATCTATAAATTTATATATGTAGGGTATCTTCACTGGCAAAAAAAAAAACTATTTTTAATACTTGCAATGATGTGATGTTTGAACCAACCACAGAAAAGTTTTGAATAAAAAAGCAAACGAAATTTTTAGTTTTTTTTTAATTAAAAAATTTTACTGTTTTTTATGACGAAAAAATTAATTAATATTTGGTTAATTAAATGAATAATTAATAATTATTAATTTAAATTTCTAAAAATTTATATAAAATTTTTTGATTCTGCAATATTTTTAGCATGTGTATACATACATACATAGATATGTTAATTTTTAAAGTCAGTCTGAACAGTGATGTGGACTAAATACCTACATATGTATGTATGTATATTTGTAGTTGGAATAATAAAGACCGTTGTTCTAAGTAACCGGAAGCTGATACGTTACGAATATAAATACATAGGTATCTACGATTATGCACGTGGCTGTGTATATATATATATATGCATACATACATATGCATGCCAGTTGTTAATGAAATAAGAATAATTTATGTTGCCATTATGAAGTTGCGCAATTTATGTATGTACATATGTACATACTGCATACATACATACATACATATCCATGCATCGATTTTTGCATACAAAAGCGGCTTAAAAATGCATAAATAAAAATTAAAATACTGCTATATTTTTTTTTTATTGAAAAAAGCCTTTTGTTGAAAAAGTCTGTATTATTTGAAAGTAAAAAAACACACTTTTATTGGCCCTCTACAAAAACAAAGACGAAAAAAAAACCAATTAATACAATTAACAATTACGAATCATAAATATTAATATTTTGAATTTTTTATGCAATATTTATATCAACATTTTAGATTATTTTGCAGAATGAGGCAGTACTAATTACCGTTAAATTCTATAATTAATATGCATATTAAAAAAGTACGTCTCGTATATTTTTTTTTAATTCATAAAAAGTTATTAATATTCAAAATTAAAAATTCTTTGTACCAAATTATGAAAATTTTAATTTTTTTATTTCGACTTTTTAACTTGCTTATTAATTAATTTATTATTATTACTATATTTTTTTCCAAACTGAGAGGCTACAAAGAAAAACCACAAGTTTGTGATATCGATTTTTGGTCTTTTGTGTTTTTTTAGCTTTTCCTGCAAATTTTTCACTCAAGACGAAAATTGGTATACGAAATATGTTTCTAAAATTCTAAAAAAAAAATAATTTTAAGTCATATACTATCTTCATTTATTCTTCTACACCGATTTCGTCGCCTTCAAAATAGTCCCCTGACGATGCAACGCCAACGCTTTTTCCAATTATCGTTCTGGTATGGCCTTCAGAGAGCCTGCCGAATCACGTTTAATCTCCTCAATCGACTCAAAACGATGTCCTCGTAGTGGTCTCATAAGTTTTCGGAGGAGCCATAAGCCACATGGTGCTAAGTCCGGCGAATACAGTGATTGGGGAACGATGCTCGTAAAATTTTAGAATTTTTTTTAGCGAAATGGTCACGAAGAATGAGTGCTGTGTGCAACGGTGCATTATCGTGATGCAAAAACTAAGAATTGTTGGCCCATAATTCTGGTCTTTTTTTGCGAATTGCCTCACGCACAAGACGCTTAACGCTTAATAATATTTCCTATTTACCGGTTTACCGGGCGGAAGGAATTCATAGTGCACTACACCACGGAAATCGAAGAAAACAAATTCACCTACCTTTTGCCCGCTTTTGCTCGGCCGCACTTTATTGGGACTTTCAGTAGTGTTTAGGGACTAAAAGTTTTTTTATTATATTATTAATCCAACTACTTTTTTTTTGTGTGGGTTACTTCTTCGACCTGCAAAGTCTTCCACGAAAATGTCAATATGAACAAGTCGAAGTAAACCAAACGCATCTTCTGTGTCTACGCTTATTCACACTCAAGTTGATCGGATAAAAATCGCTTGTAACTCACAGAGACGTAGAATAATAACATTGCGTTCTTCCACCTAACGATGTTTTCGCATACGTCGGTCTCTAGTTTATCTAAGCAAAAAGCCAACTTTCAAATTATCAAATTTCAAGTAAATCGAAGCAAAAATGCGTTGTACAAATGCGATTAGAGCACGCTAGATGTTGTTAGAAAGATGCTATTTTAGCGCTTGAGCGCATCCCAAATAGGGACAGAAAAAGAGAAAATACACAACATTCTACAATTTCTCTTTGATAAAGGCGAAAACGAAAGTCAGGCAGCTGAAAAGGAAATACTGATGTTAAATGCTAATTTCGTTCCGATAATTTTGATGTGGCTGGATACACAATGCCACCAGAGTTAACCAGAAATAAAAGTCTTTGACCGAATACCCATCGGCGAATCGCTGGTGAATCGTAGCAATAATATTTTGTTGTGTATTTGGTGGGATTGCTTTGGACGAACCCGTACTGTCAGCTATTGGACTGTCTGAAGAAAATAATCATCTAAAAGCGCCCTGCATTGACCAACAGGATGGAAATTGTATTTCATCAGGACAACGGCATACCACTCTCATCGATAGTGACTCGCCTAAAGATCCTTGAGATTGGTTGGGAAGTTCTTTTCCATTCAATTTATAGTTCGGACCTCGCACCATCTTATTATGGCAAATAATATGGCTGGTGAAGCTTTGGCATTAAGAAAAGCCGGTGAAAACCATTAAACGGACAACGATTTCTATTAGAAAGGCATAATGNCAAGACGCAGAACCACAGATGGGAGGAGGAGCTCGGCCGAAAAGCGCTAATTATCATTATTTTATTATTACTATGTTAATTTATGAATTGTTTTTATAATTTTTTATTTTGTTTTACTTTATTTTTTTGATTT